GACATGTCTAGGAGCACGTCCCTAATTGGAGAGCAACAGAGGAAATCCAGACCATTCACTAATCAATGGATGTGATTAGTTCGAGAAAGCTTCTTCACCTATAAATACCAAAGGAGACCCTACCTTCAGGAACTTTTGGCACTATTTTGAAAGAACTCATTGTCCTTCTTAGGTTCTTAAGTTTTTTGGTTTTCTGGTTATATTTCTGTAATTAGTTTTCATCATGCTCCTTATCTTGATCTAAATTTATCTTGTAGGCTAAGATGAAGTAGAAGTAGCCCTCTTTGTCTTAAGTTGGACTTGTAATGTAAATCCATTTTTCTTAATGAAATATGTGTTGTTCATTGGTTTAATATGTTTGATTTTGTGAAACCCCTTATCTATAATGTCATTCAAAAGCTAAACCCCTGGCAGATGAGACCCTCACAAGGTAATGTGGAGCATCATCACAAATCTTAGGATATCTGCTCTCACTAAGAGGAATTTTTAGAAGTAGGAAGCACTGTTATGTGTAAATTGCTTTTGCTAGCAGTTCTTCAGCCTACTTCTTTGAAGAAGACAACATAATGTCCCTTGAGTTTCAACATAAGAGACTCTCGAGGTAGCTTGGAGCAAATAAGGCCATTTTGCCTCAACTTACTTATAGAGCAAAACGTGTAGACAGAGGAATTTGACTCGATAGCCTGAAAGGTTGCTGAAAGCATATTTTATTTCTAAAAACTGGATGAAGTTGTAGGAACGACCTAGAAGGTAAAAAATACCAACCAAAGCCTACACTTTTTTATTCTTGAGTCAACGTTATTTTTATCTACTTTTTGTTACTTGTTAAAAATTGTAAAAATTTATCAAGCACATTTCTCTTTGCTTATTGTTTTTGTTAATATTCTCATATTAATGATTTAGAATTGTTGCTCCCATCTTTCTTCCGTTCTCTATATGTTGCTCTAAATTCCAATATTTTCCAATTTCTTTCAAGTCAAGTTCAATTAAGTTTAAGGGATAACCTAGTATTTAGTCACTTTAGAATCTTTGACCCTGCTCAATTAACTGATGACAAATTCTTTTTGGTAAATCTTAAGCTTAGAACAATCTGGTTCCTTAAGAGAAGTGTTCTTTATTTTCTATTGCTCTCAGTGAGTTATTTTTCTTATTTATAATTCTTTTAACGTCGTTTTTATTCTTGCTCACTGAGAATGATAATCTAGGACTCATATAAAACCTTGTATTACTTGATGTGTATATTGATTACTTGCTCCTTACAATAATATTTGCTCCAGCGCATTTTACTCCTACATATCCTTGAGCATATCTCAGCACAACACTGCATTTTCCACATACTATAATACATTAACTGTGTTTTAATTGTTGCGTAATTATCTCCCATCATTGGCATTAACTCCTGAATTTGCGCGACCATTCCTGTAAATGGTTACCTGGTTGCTAGTCTTTTACCATGGAGCATCTGCCAGATTTTATCTCTGCCGCCACACATGGTTAACAATCATCCAAGGCCCAATCATTCCTTATTAGGTAGAGTTTGAGGACTAACTGCATCGAGAATATTGCCCACGTTCCCTAGTTCTTTTCCTCTTGTGTTGTCCTCCTCAACATTCAGGGACTACTCCTAGATTACAGCTACTTCGTTACCAGCATCACCTTTAGATAGGCGTGTGCATGGGTCGAATTGAACTGATATTTTTGACAATTCGGTTCAAAAATAGTTCAGTTTAGTTCAAAATCGGTTCGGTTCGATTCGGTTTGAAAATGGTTCGATTTGATTGGAAAAAGTTCAGTTCGATTCGAAACTGGTTCAGGTCGACCTTCTTTTGAAAAAAATAAAGAAATAAGGTAATAAAAAGCGGTTTAGTTCGAAAGTGGTTCGCTTCAGTTCGAAAATGGTTAAGTTCGGTTCGGTTCTTGAACTGGTTTTAAAAACCATTTCGGTTCATGAACTGGTTTTTAAAAACCAGTTATTTTAAGTGCAGTTTGGTTCAGTTCATGGTTCGGTTCAATTTTTTGGTTATTTTGAACATCCCTACCTTTAGAGCTTTCCACATTTGCTCCATTATTCTCTTGGCCACACAGACTTGATGGGCACCATTCCTTGGAGTGGCCATATGTTCCACAATAAAAACAAACTAGAGTACAATTCATTATGTTGGCTTCATCTATATTAAATCCATGGTCCACCATTTTGTTACATATATAGAAAGGTAGCTTTATCGAGGAAGCTTGACTTCTTGCACAAAATGCTTTTTCCAAATAATTCATTTAATGATTTCTTATTCTATATGATGAGAGTTTGAAAATAATAATTACCCACTACAAAAACTAAACTTATTGAACTAAAATAAAATACCCATTATAGCACTTACCTACCAAAATTCTATCCGCTAACTTAAAATAAACTAATAATTCAGAAAATAATAAAATAACAAAATCATAATACATTTATCAAACCTTGATGGTCTACTTTGCTTGTGAATTTTACAGTAAAAAATTCATTTCCTATATCATATATCGTTACCAAGTCATTATACGCCCTTCTAGTTTCATCCAGTGTTTAAAAATTGGGCCCGACCATCAACTCGACTGAGGTCAAGGGTCACGAGTTCAACCGAGGGGTCACATGGTCACTTCGCTGACCCGGTTTTATACATTAAAAAAATATAAATATATATTCTATACAAAAAATTCAAACAAATCAAATCACCCATCATTAAAGATTCAAAATATACTTAACATAATTCAACCAATTACATTCACAAGTCAATATTCACAAGCTAATCAAAGTATTAAACTATCAAAGTATAAAACACATATTCCAATGGAGTTAATGAAAAAATATATCATCAAACTCAAGCCCTTCTTGTGCTTCTCATGCATCTGAACAGTATGTGAAAGGAGATCCCTTACCCAATAGAGAATAGCGGAGGAGAGGCGGCGACACAACAAATTAACGATGGAGAGAGCATAACCAGCACGGTGGAGGAGATAACCGGATCAGAGAGACTGGGTCTGAGTCTGGGAGAGAAAATCAGAAGAGAATAAGAAGAACGATTCAGATTTCAGATCTAGTTTTAAATCTACGCAGCAACGAGTTTTTTTTTTTTTTTTTTACACATCAAACGATGTCATTTCATATATAATTTTTCTTAAAAAAAATGCAATGACCCCTCTGACCCGGGAGTCACGGGTTCAATCGGGAGATTTCGGGGGTTAGAGGGGTCAACTTGCAACTAGAGTCTAACTATTAACCTGAATCCTTAGTGTCCGGGTGGGGCGGGATTTTAAAATACTGGTTTCATCATGAGATAGTCTACACCCCACTGTTCTGCCAAGTAGTTTGACAATAAGTATCCGGGTGCACAGCATCTGTATCCTTTGCTTTGCTGACTTTGTTCACACAAAGTTGGAGATATCCATCTTCCTCCACTATTTCCTTGAAACCCCATTCATCTCCTTCACTATCTTTCAATCCTTTGCTTATTTTCATTCTAAGATAAATGAATCAACTGAACCAACTAAGAGTCTGTTTGGATCCTCTCTCTTTTTAAATTAGAAGTTACTTTTAAGCTAAAATTTTAAAAAAAGAACTTAAAAAAAATCAAAAACTGTTTGGTGATTACATAAAGGGAAAAACTATTCTCATGTCACATGAGACAAGTTTTCTATCTTATACACCCTTCGATAATTGTGCCACCTTTTTCTTTTCTTTTCTTTTTTCTTTTTTCAGATGGTGAATCCCACTAGTTTGTCTCTATGACATAAGATAATTATCTCCTTTAACATGAGATTAATAAAACCCTTACATAAAATTTTATTTTTAAAGTTATTTAAAAACACACATTTCAAAAAAAGTTTTTTTCTCTATTTCTATGACTCTTCATTTAAAAAAAACACACAGTTCAAGAAAAGCTGATAAGAACTTAAAAAAAAGTTCCTGTTGTGAGCTTTTGATTTTTGGCTTTTTTCTACTTATAAAAAAAAGAGTTTTTTATTATAAGAGCTTTTTTCAAAATCTGTTTGGCCTAACTTTTGTTTATAAGAGGAAGAAAAGTTAAAAATAGAAGAATCGAAACAGCACTAATAACAAAAAAAAAAATTTATAGCCCTTATTTTGTGTTGTTCGTAAATATGTCTTATGATTTCAATAATTTTCTTCTCGGTGATTTTCCAAGCATCCTTGGCGGTCATTATGTCAGGACGTACGCTCCATAGAACATTAGTCTAAGCATTCCAAAATGTGGTTTCTTTAGCTATATTTGTCGAACTCTTTCTCTAATATGGTTAATCTAACATGCAGAAGATTTTTCTTTTCTTTTCTTTTTGTCACACATAAAACTTATTTGAAGAGAAGACATTTGCATTATAAGAACAAAACATGCTTAAGGAGATTTTTTACTGCGAAAGTTTATAGTTAACCTTACAAACAAAATGCTTCAATCGAGCAACCTGTTAGCATCGAAGATATTTATGTAATGAATTAATTTTATATAATGTACATCTAACATTAAAAACAACTATGAATCTATATTTATAACAACTAAATTTTTCTCATTCAGCTTCCTGGATCATTTACAAAATTTTTGAAAAAATATACCAGAATTTTATAATGAAATTACAAAGAAAAAAAATTAAAAAATATTAATGTCTTAAAAGTTACAAAAGTCGATACTGACGTACTGAAGTACCATAAAAATCTTAATTTTTTCATTTATCATATGTTCTGACTCCCTAAAATTTGGTAATTTTGCAACAGAGTATGATAACCAGTGTCCAATTTAATTGATTTCTCTCATAGATGAAGATAGAAGAAAATCCAATACAAGGGACATTTCAAGACCTACAAGCAACATCATTGAGCTAGGAATTGGGATGCTCACGTTAGACTCATAGACTGTTGATATCATAGGAATGCAAGATGTTTCTCAAATTAAGATCTCCATATTCTAGAGTATTAATAACATATACTAGTCATTTTCAATCCATGAAGCATGTTCATTCCCAAATCCCAAAACATCTTATGATAATCAATGGCTGGGAAGCAAATTTCTCAATCCCAAATCCTAAATATCAAAGGTACACAGCTTAAAGATAATATATAGCACGGTTACACAAGATCACACATTAACCACTTGGAAGATGCGACTATGTTTGGTTGTTTCTAGTAAACAGAACATGTATTATGTGACAAGTGCCACAGTTCTTCATACTACACCTACCTAAGTGTAAGAAATTTAAACTTAGAGAGAGAGAGAGAGAGAGAGAGAGAGAGAGAGAGATGAGGAGGGGCAAAAATTAATAGAGCAAGGAAAGGTCCTTTCTGCCATGTTGATGCTAATGCGTTGATTCCTCACCAAACACCTCGATATTGCAAACAGGACATTTCTGAAAAGAATAACGTAAATGAGATGGAGAAGTGGGGACGACAAATTCTGTAGACATGGGATTCAAGGGAATTTCAGAAGGACGTATTTACTTACCTTGTTAATGCTGAGCCATTTGGTAATGCATTCACCATGATAAACATGGCTGCATGGCAATTTTATTAGCTGGTCGCCTCTTCTATATGTCATCTGACAAATTACACACCTGTTTTCAATGCAATTTGATTGAGTATATACTGAAAATAGGAAGAAGAGGATGGACTATATGTATACATATATCTTGCTGGAGTCTGAAACCATGGAAAAGGCGGATAGATATCATAAATCTAGAAAACTCAGAATGAGCAAAAAAAATGAAATCAAACCTCCATAATTAATGTAAGCCCTGCATATAAAACTAGAGATTACTGAATCCAATTCTCTGGGCAAAGGATAAAAGTAGCGAACTCAAGTCTTCCTAATTAAGACTATCTAAACCTTGTATACCCTCAACCACAATGCAAAAGAAAATAATCAATCATTCTATTTCCAAGGGCAATGGGGTAGAAGAGAGAGAAAAAAATAAGAGAAATGAAAATGTTCATGTACAAATGAATTTCTTCACTATTCTTAGGTTTATTGAGGGTAATGAAAATATGGTAAAATTACAAATTGATAAATCTATAATTTATAAATACAACAAGCATGAAGCATATACTAATTTTCCCTTCAGTTACCCATATTTCACCTGTTCCATATAAAAGCCGTAAGGTTGAGAACCAGGATATTACCTTTTCCCCGAATTTTTTCTTTTGAATAAGCTACTGAATTTGTATTTTGAGGTTGGAAGCATATTAATAAGTTCTTGGGAAAGGCCTCGGCTTTGTGTTCCAACTGCCTCCCCTAGGTCTAGTAGTTCCTGCCACATAAAAATATATATATATAGCTATTGATCTTCTTGATTTCTAATTCTACTTCTATTCAACATACCAATAAAATTGAAAGGTAAAAAATATTAAAATACAAATCCCCACCAAGCTCAAAGACATGTAAGTTCAACCATCAAATAAATCAGCAATATTCTCATAGTGGCACTTTCCTGAAATGCAAACATTCTAAATCCTGAAGGCAACCCACCTTTTTTTTTTGGCTTAATAACTAATCAAATCAAATTTGAAGTCATATAAAGTACCGTGTCTGTAAAAAGCTTTTGATGTTCTCTGAAAGTACTGGACGTAAAATCATTCATGAGCCTTGACCTAATAGCTTAAGCTCTTGGAAAATTTAGTTCTTGACATGAAATTAGAGCGTCTATGACCAAGTGATCAGGTATTCGATCCTTGCCACCCATTCTTTTAACTAAAAGTTGAATTAAAGCACAAGTTATGTAAGCTTGTGCATTGTCCATACTTCAAGTCCAAATGACTCTTGCATGAGAAGGCTTGTTAAATATAAAACCATTCAAGAGTCTTTACAAAACAACTTAAGTTTTTGGTAAAGTTGTTTATTGATGGAAACAATGTTAAACATTTACAACATAATTTATAAATACAATAACTTGCAAAAATATCGCCATTCTCTAAAAAAAACTGAGAATCTGGAAACATGTTAATTTTGGCTCCTTATCCTCTGAATAGTTAATACCTTAGATTTTAGATGCTCAAAGCATGAATTAATTGCATCTGATGTTTAGTAAACCATAACTAAACATAATAATCAATGGTTTAAAAGTAAAACAAAAATTTTAAAAATATGAAACTATGCACACTCATGCATGCATAAATCAGTATTTACACAGAAAACATAAAGGGCATCACACCTCATAAGTCATATTATCGGGATCAATGTCATCTTGCCATATGACCTGCAGCAATCAACACAAAAGGATTAGACTTCAGTGGATACATTTTTATACTGATTCTGATTATCAAGCTCTAATTGGAAAACAACATACAGAAGTTGTCATAAAACAACTATCCCAAAAGCTTAAGCTTTGTACTTGAAATGCAAGAGTGATTCCAACTCCATATTTTATGGTCTTCATTTAAAACAATATAATTCTGAGTCTTACAGAGCTTATAACAAAGAAAACAGTTATTTCAGGTATCACGTGAATTCAATTTAGAGTATTCAAAATTTCAAAGATCTTTATAAATTATATTTTGACCTGAAATAATGAATTTTAGTGGAATAGAAAGAAAAAAATGTCAGAGCCACAAGCAGGGGTGTTCGCGGTCTGGATTGGATCGGTTTTGGAAGTAAAAATCATCTGATCCAATCCCTTCGGTTTGATCATATAATAATCCATTCGGTTTGGATTTTTTTTCAAATCCGATCCGATCCAATCCAATTATTTTCGGTTTGGATTGGATCGGTTTTCGGTTTTTTGAAAATTCTAAAATTTATTTCATGATTATTCTGCAAATAACATCTTTTGTATATAGTGGCTTTGTAAAAAAAAAATTTGAAATACAAAAGCATTAGTAAACTATATTATAGTTTTTTTTTTGGCAATGAGATATGAAGCTCTACAAAGATAAGATTTTGTTGATAAGATGTGACTTAATTTTTTTTTGGGTTTAGTTGATGGGTTAATGAGTCTTGGATTTAGAAATCTTTAGGCTATGATTAGGGAAAAACCCAAGTAGGTAGAAGAGAATTAATATATTGGATCGGTTTGGATTGGATCGGTTTTCCTCAACCCATCCAAAAACCGATCCAATCCAATTAAAATTTGCAGCTTTTTTTCGGTTTTCGATTTTTCGATTTTCGGTTATCGGTTTTTCGGTTCGGTTACTGCGGTTTGAATCGGTTTGGATCGGTTGATGTACACCCCTAGCCACAAGAATCCTACTTTCTAAATAATACAAAAATGGAGTACGTTAGAGGCACATCAAAATTAATCAAGTTTCTCTAAATTTTATTCATTCCCATTGCTAAGTTTACTCATAAAGGAAACATGTATTCAGGGAGAGCTCTTGCGAGCATAAAACTTTGAGGATGGTTTAGGTGAAATATGATAAAGAAGTTATTGGCTCTATTACGAAAACTGTTTTCTGGACAAAACCTAGTCTAAAAACCTACGTATGTAAACAACTTTGCAAGAAAAATACGTAAAATAATACCATTGCCAAAACTACAAATACTATTTGATGCTAAGTTCATCTATTAATAACTATCCCTAGACAAGGAAGTGAGATAGGCAATACAAAGAAAGGTCCACTGGAAATGATAATGTAAAATAAACGATGCCCAACTTCAAAACTCCTTTCTGTTTCTTGGCAATTAAGTGCAAAACAGTAAGTTGCAGGAAATAATCAATTAAAAAGTAAGGTAATTTTGTCTGTTTTGTAGATGACATGAGTGAAGGATATTACTGACAGGGCAGCCTTTGAATCATAAGGATATAATTCTGATGTTCCAATGTTATTGGAATTACGCCCTAAAACCAACCCTAACAAGCTAAAAGACATAGTTCTATATATAATCCTCAATTCAGTTTAAATTGAATTACAAGGTTCAATTTTTGTACCAATAGTTGGGACTAAAACATTTATGGTTAACATGCAACATACTCCATTTAATTACGACCTTTTTGTAAATAGCATCCTGTATTTTCAACTTTGGTAATTAACCGGGTTAAATTTTCAACATATGACAAATAATCCCATGGGGTTAATTCCCAAAATTAAAATCACAGGGATTATTTGGGACAAATTTAAAGTTTATGCAGACTATTTGCCAAAGTTAAAACTACAGGGGATATTTGTAACATACTGAAAGTTTAAGGAAGTTAATTGCCAAAATTGGAACCACAGGGGACAGTTGGCCAAGGGGTCCAAGTTAAATGGAGTAATGTTCATTTGATTAACATTTAATAACAAAAAAGTTATTGAATACAAAAAACTGTAGGGTGGATATATTTCGATTTGTGTTGTAAGTATGCCATGATCAGCCCAACTATCATTGAAATAATGTCTCTCAACTTTCAAGAAAAGGGGACAAAGTGTCCCTACCAGGGACAAATGATTAACTATTAAATCAAAAATCAATTAGTTAAGGTCTAAAATTAAGGACCTGTTAATAAAAGGGCTCCCTACCTGGCTACTATTGGACTCATGATGATTTGGACTGCCTGCAAAAGAAATTCAAAAGAATTAAGATACTATATCATGATTCTCATAGTTCTTCTAAAATAATTAAAAACTAAAACAGTAGTTTCAATTCAACTCAAAATAGAGGTAAAAAAATAAAAAGCTTCACTTAAAAAGTTTGCATGATTTGGATTGCCTGCAAAAGAAATCCAAAATATAAAGATGATATCATATAGTATTCATGCTTTCTTGCATAGTTGCAATTCCAAACAATAGTTTCAATTTAACTCTACATCAACATCAACAACACCTTTATCCCAAACTAATTGGGTCGGTGGTAGATGAACCTAAATGAAAGGTACGAAGGGGTAAAATAAGAATAAATAAATAAGTTTCAATTCAACTCCAATAGAAAAAAATAATAATACTAATAATGAGCTTCATCCAACCAGAGGAGACCAACCCCCCCTCCATAGACACTAATTTGCTGCTGGCATGGCATTAAAAAGTGATTAAAAAGGTTTATTAAGATGCAACAACCAAATTGTAAAAACCAATTATATGATCATAGGCCAGTGCTTATAGTAAAAGGAAGTAAAATTTCAAAACTAACATTCTTCAGGGATAGTCTGCATGCTTGTGACTCCATCTCTTCTAGGTGGAGAATCTGCTGTAGCTGATTCCTCAGTGATCATTACTGAAGGGTATTCCCACTCATCCCTGTTGATCTCCATTCTTGGCAAATGGTCATTTACCTCATAAGAACTATAATAAGATGTACTCCCAGGGCCAGACAATCCAAATTTATAAGGATTCATGTTCATTGACCAATAGACACTTTCCTGGACAGAACATATGATTACATAATTATGATCATGTTTGATTAGAGAACAGTATCACTTTTACACAAACGATAAAGAAAATCCTAATTATGACTGAATAAAACAAATGAAGGAGAGAACTTTTTTTTTTTGGAGAAGATAAATACATTTATAAATGATACCAACTCAAAACTAAAGATATAAACATGTTAAAGGGAGAGAATTTTGTGGCACATAGTTGCTTTCAACGCAGCATTACCCATCTGCTGTTACAATTCAACTCAGAAAAGTAAATTATCATTGTCACATTATTTCTGTAGAATATGTACTTGATCTTTGTATTTGTATTAAAAATTTTAAATAAGAAAAAAATTCCAAGTCCTTTGCCAAACATTCTGAGTTCTATTACTTAACCGTTAGGTAGCAGTAGCAATGATAATAATAAAAGGATGGAGATTTCTACTTTTATTCCCAAATTTTGGGGTAAAATTAAATTAAGAATAAAATTTCAATAAATTCCTGCAACAAAACACATTTCCCATTCAAGGGTAGTACGAATCTACAACCTTGTAGCCAAAAGTATTAGCATCCAGCAAGTTGAGATTTCAAACAAAAAAAATAAAATTACAAGTAGAAACAAAAACCTGATCAGGCATTGACCCTGCAAAGGCATAATTCACTGGCACATGTGTGAGGCCTTGAAAGAAATCCGAAAAGCCTTCATTAACAGCATAAGGAAAGCCAGCATCTACGTAATGCACCCCCATTTGTCTACCATCATTCATTTTGCAGTTTTAAAAACCACTACTCTTCAACAACAACTACCAAAAAAAAAAGCCACATTAAACATCACCAAACACACCCTTATACAACAGATAAATTCCTAACAGGAATAGGAAGCAACAGAAAAAAAAATCATATCCCTTATATGATCAAGCTCTCTTGAATCCAACCAAAAACGAAAAAAAAAGTGACACCAGGTAGAAACTTGAAGGAATCAATACATGCTTCAGTCGAAATATCAACGGTTAACCGGAAAACTTTACTTAAATAAAAAAAAAATCTAATTTTCATTTCTACTCGGTGAAAAACCTTGTGTTAGAGAGATTGGAGAGAAAATCAAGAGGCAAAAGGAGAATGTAGAAAATTAGCATTGGTGCATTGCAGTGTGTGTAAGATTTTCTCGGGAACCAAACAGAAGAAGGAAAGTTCGAGAGTCGATTTACCTTGTGCACATTCGGAATGGTTCGAAGAGAAAAGAGGAAATTGGAGAGAAAGAGAGAGAGAGGGTTTTGATTTTATGTGGAAATTTGGTTCTCTCTCTTTCTTTATTCCGATTTTGTTAATGCCGGAATTCCGATATTACAACAAAAGGTGTTAGGAGTAGCAGAACCACACCCCACACAATTGGCCCTCTTTTTTACTTTTTCTTTGCACTGTGCTCAACAAACAATTTTAAAAATACATAAAGTTTACACTCATTTTTTGTTAATTAGTTTAATAATATCTTGTTGTTTGTTTATATATTTTTAGTTAGTTTAACAATATCTTGTTGCTTGTTATGTATTTATATAAATTAATAATTAGAAATATTATTAATCTATTTTTTATATGATTTTTACTTGATGCTATTTTGTAATTATTAATTTGATTTTAATTTAATAATAACAAAAATGATTGTAAAGAATTATATTAACGGAAAAGAGATAGTAGGGTCTTTTTTCTTATTGGACCTAATGATCCCACCATCTATAAAATCAAATTGTAAATATAATCTATTCCTCTTTTAATATTAATTTTATCATTAAATAAACTTTTATGTTTATTTCATTCAATAATCTGAACTTAATCTAATAATAACAAATATTACAAGAAAATATCAATAAGTGTTATTAGTATTTTTCATTAAAAAGATTGTGAGTTATATTAAATAAATAATAATGTAGTAAATGTAAGCATAAAATATAAAGTTTAATTCAATTTTCAACCTTGAGTAAGCTTTATGATTTAAATATCACTTCAAAAACTTAACTATTAAGAAAATAAAGAAATAAATAGTCTCACCATATTAAAAAGTATAATAAAAGAAATAAATAAATAAAATATATCATACGGGATGAATAAATTATTGAAATAAAATCTAATTCGTTTCCAACTAAAAACAACTCGTGGCAATCATGGCAAATGCTTTCTTTTGAATGGTAAGTGGTAACCATCAAGTAGAAAGAAATCTCGGGTTCTTATTAAGAAAATTTATTTCACTTTTGTATTTTGTTTTCTTAAAAAAACTATGTTACGAGCTCTTTGCAGTAAAGTTGTTCAATCGCAATATGTATCATATATTATTTAAGTAATTTTTTGTGTTGACTATCGTGAATATCAAATTATAAGATACAGAAATATAATAAAAAATAATTTAAAAATATATAATATAATTAATATCATATAAATCCAAATTCCAAAAAGGATTCAATAAGCAAAATACATGAGTAACTAAAGTGTAAATAAGTTATCAAATTGTGGTAGCTCAATTCGTGCATGGGAGCTAAGCAGGTGGGGGTGAGAGCATATGTTCGAATCTCCTCAGTATCACTCTTGGGAGGAGTTTAAAGCCTTAATCCTAAACCCGTCCCTAATCGGATTAGTTGCGAAGCGATGAACCGATTGGAATATTTCTAAAAAAAAAAAAAGTGTAAACAAGTTATTTATTCTCCTTATCATCAATCATTAAAACTAATATCATCACTACTATTACTATCAGCATCTATCAGTGACATAACTAATCCATCATCCTTCTCATTAAAGGGCGCGTTTGCTATGCGACTTTTTTTAGAATGACCGGGAATGCATGGTGGGGGAAAAATGTTAGCAACGTTTGGTAGCTCAAATGTGATAACTTTCCACAGCAAATTTCTTGCCGGGAAAATGTGTGTGTGTTAATTTCTGTACAGTATGACAAATGTTTGATCCATAAAATATGTGGATTTGTTGAGTTCCCGGGAAAGCAAAAGGTGAATCTACCAAACCACCCAAAATCTTCAACACGTTAATTGTAATATTTGAATCAAAAGATGAAGGTGAGGTTATTTTAGTAAGATAACCTCACATTTCCATTAATATTTCATAATCAACCAAACACAAACTCAGTAAAATTGACTTTATTTTTTCGGGAAAATATAGATCTATCAAATACCTTTTTAATAATATTCCAGTAAAATATATTCTCCACTACATTCCAGTAATAATTAATTCTAGGATAAAAAAAATTCTCTGGTACTAAACGCCCCCTAAGGTAGTCATTTGACTCATCTCTCAATTCTTCTTCAACAATATGAAGTCTTTTTTCCTTATTATTCTTTTTGGCTGGATTCGCCGGATTCGCTGGAAGCTCATAGCCTCTGAATGGTTTTCAAAAATAAAATCTTTATTCCTTAGAGATTGAAGAGATTTAGAATATTTATTTAATTATTTTCTTTATTAATACAGATATTTCATATTAATTTTTGAGTTTGAAGCACAAATCAAATCTTTATTTTCTTTTCCTTAATAATAATAATTTTTTAGACGTTTTTTAATTTAAATTAAAAATCAAATCTTTATTTTTTTGTTACGTTAAAAATTACAAATTTTAATTTAATTTTCGTATCGTATCATTCGATATAGTATCATATTGTCCAATACAAACTCCTTTCTAATATACATCACGATACGTGTCACTGGGCTTGTGAATTGTATTGTATCGTATATCATACGATACTGATAACTATGCTTTGCAGCTAGGCAAAATGGCATTTATCCACCTTTAGATAAAACCAGTGTTATTAAAATCGAACCGACCCGGCCGGGTCGACCCGGGAACCGGTAAATCGGTCATATAACCGGTCTGGTTCAAGCAACGGACTGGCCATACATCAGAACCGGTGCGACCCGGTCCGACCCGGCCGGTTTTCATGAAAACCGGTGACCCGATCGGTTAACTGGTGACCCGGCCCGCTTCCAAAAAAAATTCTAAATTTTTTTTCAAAAAAAAATATCATAATGGACATATTTAAATATATATTTTTCTTATTGACTTACATAAGTTATGTACCTATAACACTAATAATATCTCAATTATGCACTATGCAGAAATTTTGATTTGATTTATAGTTAGACATGTCATTTTCTGAACCTAAAGCCCCGTATCACGATCATTATATTTTTGTTTGATCCTTTATTGTATAATAATATGTGATTCATTATTTTTTATATTAAAATATTTGAATTTTTTGTCATTTTTGCTTAGATATTTGAGTATGTTTATAATTTTTTCATATAAATTGTAAAATTACATATAATTATCGGGTCATGCGGTTGAACCAGTGACCCAGTACCTCGACCGGGCCGGTTTTAATAACATTGGATAAAACTATGTATAAATGAAAGGTTAAACCTCATAAATTTGTATCTAGAAATCATAATCTCTTTGTTATTACTAGAGCCGACAAAATGAACTCGGATCGACGGGTCGACCCGCCCACTAATAAAGCAGGGCGGACTGAGTTTTTACAGTTCACTCTCAAAAGTGAAGCGGAGCGGGACAGGTTGGCTCATTTTTTGACAGATTAATGACAGGACAAGCGAGATAATGTAAAACATGTTTGAATTGGCGGACCGAGTTTTTCAACCCATTTTAAAAAATAGAACGGAGGCTGACTGGTTTTTCAGTGAGATGGGAGAGTCCGCCTACTTTGCCACGTATTACTGGACACACACGACATCCCTTTTGATATTTTTGTCACTCATCATGCCAGTAATCTACGCTACCTCCTCGTTGGACATCGTTAGCTCCATAGATACCATTAACCCACAGAACCTACAGTAACACTTAATCCTCTGATATCAAACAACTTTCAATTTAAAATTATTTATTTTGTTGAGAAACAAACATAAGTGTCATGTATTCGTTGTCATGGACATCTTTCACTCTCCATTGAAACTTTAAACAAACGTTTTAAAGAAATGACACCACAATCCACGTAGTTTTTTGACGTTTTAATAAATTCATCGATGGATTACACAATTACAATTTTATTAAATATTATCAACCACGAGAGTGCAAGTGCTACAAAGTTATGTAGAAATCCTTATTTCAAAAAGTATAAATTAGAAATAGAAACCAAGCTAATTAACATAGCAACTAGCAAATACCCTATATATATTTGGCAACACTTGGAAATGTTAAGAAAACACACACACACATATACATATATATATATATATATATATATATATATATATATATATATATATATATATATAAATAGTTGCTGCCTAGTTAATAATTTGTTTCTGATTAAAATAGAGCTTTCAAACAGAATTTCTGCATGCAACTTCACTCTATTATGCAATAGCATCATAATATATACATAAAAAATAAAAAATAAAATAGTTGCTGCCTAGTTAATTTGTTTCAGATTAAAATAGAGCTTTCAAACAGAATTTCTGCATGCAACTTCATTCTGTTATGCAATAGCATCATAAATAAATGCATTCCCTTAAAACCGAAACATTTAACAAGTGGTAATAAATATAGTGCACATATCACATATGAATTGAATGGCATGTAAAATCTGTGGAAGCCGCATTTATCAGAGGGAAATCTCTGCTGCAATTGAAGCTACAATCTGTGTACCTATAATACCAATTGTAGACCTAAAATCTCCAACCAGGGTTTGGTCCCCAAACTACCAACAACTTTATAAAAGGTAAATCATGAATAGGGCTAATTAATTAACAAAAGGGGTGTCTCGTTCAACGATTCAACTCTCTTTGAAAACTCCAATGTGGCCTTTGTATAATTGTACTCTCAACCTTCCTAAAAAAAGCTAGGGTGTTTGGGTGCAATAGGAAAATAGAGATAGGTAGAATTCTATGATGTTGTTATAAATCTGAGAATGTTTAGTGCAAATAATTTGGAATATAAAAGGAAAGGAGCTAATTTTGGTGACCAATGGTAGAAAGTGGTTAACCCAAACAAAGAAATAAGAGAGAGGAGAGTTTTGTATTTTGATTAATGTTATGTTCATAATTGCAGCTTCACCCTTGTTGTATATAAAGCGTGATTCAGAATATAAAGTTAAAGGCACGCCTTCACATAAAAAAATATTATTATTTTATTTGCTGACTTTTTAATGTATATAATGGATAATGTTATCTTTGTATTGGACAAATATTTTTTTTAAAAATAAGGGTAAATTAGTTGTTGAAATTCTATTTGTTCTTGGGTCTAGAGATTTATTGGGAAGTTAATTAAACAATAAGGAAAAGATATAGGCAAGTGTACCTCAAATATATAAAATAAAAAACAAATGAAAACAGACAAAGCTGAAGAGATACAGGGTTAGATTACCCAATAAAGGTAAATTAAAATAATAACAAAAAGTAGTTCAAGATACAAGGTTAGACTTTGATACCCCTAAGAAAATTAAAATAATTTTAAGAAAAGTAGTACATAGGAACATATACATCAAATGAGTTTCCTATTTTCTCACAGGTTTTCTTTTCTTTTACGATGTGTAGAATCAACCACTTGTTTGTTAAAAAATACATATCCCCCTTCTCTTTTTCTTTTTCAAACAAAACTGTACTTTTTTTTGTGAAAAACTAAACTGTACTTTCTTTTCGTGAACATTCTTTTATTAAAACATTTTAGCTTGTGTTTTTGTTATTAATTTTATAGTAGACACAATGAACAAAACAAACTTACTAAATGTAAGTTTTCTGCATGAAAAATTATATCTTGTGAACAAAAAATACCATCAATACACGTTTTATCTTTTCCGAGTGTCTCTTCCCACTATCATTATAATTAAACAAAGCCTAGAGCTTTCAGTTAACATTTCTTCACATTACCAATATCTTGAGAAAAAAATAAGAGAATGCGAGGGAGATAGAGAAAGGAATGAAGATGACTAGTGGGATGTGAAAAAAACTACCCAATAAACAATGATCAACTTGGTTCAAAGAGATTTACTATCTTCAACGTCAAGAACACATTTACCCCAAATTAATTGGGTCAATTGTAAATAAACTCAAATGAAATATACAAAGGGATAAAAATAAAAATAAAAATAAATAAAATAATAATAATAATATATAAAAATAAAATGGGTATAAACAATATAAATAAATAAATAGAAAAGAAAAAAGATGGGAAAAAGGATAAAGAAAAAGAAAGGGAGAAATGAAAAGGAAAAAGACTAAAAAGGGACTGAAACATAGGAATAATAACGAATCTAAGCCTCCACCGTGCTAATAGTTTTTCTTCGTTCCGTTGTAAGGCGCGTACAAAAATCAAATGGTGCAAAAGCATTTTAAACTAGAGATAACAATAACGCAAGAATAATATATAAAATATAGAGCATCTCTCAAAATTCCAAATCAAACAAAATGTAATTCAAAGTGACAATTGCTTTGCCTGCCACTCAATAAATCATGCTTGAAATATAAAATTCTGATCCAAAGTTAAAAATAAAAAACGGGTTTGGGACCAAATCCCATCGAGTAAAATTATTGAGCAAAATTTGCCGCCATGATTAGTCATTTCTCATAACTAAATGATCTTCATCACCATCTAAAGCTAAAATACGAATAAGGCTCTGAAAAATTAACTAAGCACCACCGGAACCGTACTTCTTCCCCAACATTATCACCTGTAACTTGTCATAACCAGCAAGCACACCAGCACCAGCAACAGCACGGAGGATGTTAGCACCAGCTCCCTTAAACAAGGACTTGGCACCCTCGTTCTTGAGGATTTGTGCAAATGCATCCATGGAGCTCTTGTACTTGACGGCTTCACCAGAGGTCATCATCATTCTTCTTCTAACAGTGTCAATTGGGTATGATGCTAAACCTGCACCATTGGTAATGAGCCACCCAAGACCAAAGCTAGCAAAAAAGCTATCCTGTAATGATCAAGGAAAATGGTAATAACTGTCAGCAAATGATTTAAGTTCTAAAGAAAAATCAAAAGAACCTACTTTGCATCAATTTGTTAAACAATACCACTCCCCATTAAAACCTGACTAGCGAGGGCGGAGTGATGGCAATTCTTATATACAGCCTTACCTTTGCATATATGCAAAAAAAACTATTCTCCAAATTCGAACCCGTAACCTTTTAGTCACAATAGAAATAGTTTTTCCACTACACCAAGATTGCCCTCTTATTTTGTTTGAAACCACTCCCCGTTAAACCCGACTAGCGAAAACCACTTCCCGTTAAACCCGACTAGCGAGTGTGGGGTGGAGGAAATCCTTGTACGCAGCTTTACCCTTGCATAATTGCAAAGAGACTGTTTCCTGTATTCGAACCCATGACCTTTCAGTCATGAAGGAACAGTTTTACCACTGCTCCGGTTCGCCCCCTTATTTTGTTTAAAAAAAAAAAACGAGAGCAAAAATACATACTAACACACTTGAGTTGGTCATACTAGAAGAATTTTCTCAAATTGCATGACACAGAAGATAATGCATAATAAGAGAGATGAAACCAACCTGCAAAGATCCAGTCAGGAGAACTGGCTTCAGGGAATCATACATTCCGAAGTAGAGACCACGATACACAATGATTCCAACACAGGAAATGTTGAAACCACGGTAAAGACCAGCAATACCATCAGATGCCAATGTCTTCTTGTAAACATCAACAAGACCATTGAATTGCCTTTCTCCACCCTTCTTAGCAGCCTTTGAATCATTAGCCAGACGGGTACGGGCATAGTCAAGGGAGTAAACAAATGCAAGGGATGAGGCACCAGCAGCACCTCCTGAGGCCAAGTTGCCAGCAAACCATTTCCAGTAACCATCCTTATCCTTCTTGAAATTGAAAAGCCTCTTGAAGTAGTCTTTGAATGCAAAGTTCAAAGCCTAGTAGAATTTGAATTGCAAATTTAGCATCACATAAAATAAACCAAAAGAGTTGTAAAGGGGCAGGGTAAAAATCAAAAGGGATAAAAACAAATTAAGTAACCTGAGTGGGGAAATAACGGATGACATTTGCAGTGTTGCCCCTCCATAAGGCAACAACACCCTCATCCTGCATTGTTCGCTTGAAACAATCACCAATACCCTTATAGGGCTCAGAAAGTCTACCAGCTTTAATCATCTCATCCTGGTTCTGGATCAAAAGCTTAATTCGTTCAATGGGAGCAGCAGCAGTTTTAGATACAGCAGCTGAAACTCCACCCATGAGAAAGTCAACCATAAAGTTTCCTTTCTCTGCAGGAGCTGCAACAAAGATAGGAGAGCCTGTTGTTGCAACAGTAGAAAAATCAGTTGTAGCTCTGCATGCTGGCATCACTGGATACTGCAATGCAGCATTCGAGTAATTCCCAAATGAGCGCCTGTGGTACAAGGAAACACCAGAACGGAGATGGAGCTGGCCTGCAACCTTCTCCATGATTCTAGGGTGCTGAACCTGATCAACCATTGTGACTTTCCTGAACAATGCACATACCCAATGTCAAATAAGGAAGATAAAAATAAGAATGTGATCAAACAGAACAGACACAAAACACATGGTAAAAATCTAAACAAGCAAGAAAGGTTTATTGTAAACTGAAATATAAAGTAAGCAGAAATAATCCTTCATTGTAATGTATGTATCCACTTGTTTAGTTCATTATATTAAATAATAAACAATAACCAAACAATGTCAGAGGCAAGTCACAGCCGGGCAAGGCAAACAACAGGAAAAGAAAAAAAAAACATAAAAATCATATCATACCAACATTGACAAGCTCTAATATCAAAGGAGTAGCTGTAATAATAAATTCACGTTTTTCCATGATAAAATGGAACATATCACGTAACAGCTCCTAAACATTAACATGATTAATAATCAGCAATCGTGTCATTTATATACAAGAAAGCTTCTGTTATACTTGTAAAGAACCACTTCAACCCAAAATCTTAAGGTGTTGGGTGAAGACTTCTTTAATGATTTATATTATTCTCTAACACACCCCCTCACGCAAGAGCCCTTTGGACTAGAAGTGTGGATATTGCACAGGCCCAATGTTTTTGGTTTTACCTTGTGCTTTTTTTTTTAATTCCACTTTAAAGTGGGAGGCGGTGAGGATCGAACCTGGGACACGAGGCTCTGATACCATGTAAAGAACCACTTCAACCCAAAACCTCAAGGTGTTGGGTGAAGACTTCTTTAATGATTTATATTATTCTCTAACAATATTTATACATATTATAAAAGTACTCTTAAGAGTCACAATCAATCAGTCATGTTATGTCATCCAAAAAGGCAGAAAATGAAACATTATAAATCATAAATAATGATCACTATAACTATTAATCTTTCATATTTTTTATATTAAAATAATGATCAGTATAAATCACCAAAAAAAAAAAAAACCCATTTTGTGAGATATCATATAGCAACACAACTTCAAAAGCAAACAAAACTCTGAAAAAAACAGAACATTAAAATCTCAAGTTTTACAAACATATCAATTAGCGAGGGCCATGATAACAAACGAAATTGAAATAGAAGAGAGAAAAAAAAAAAAACCACCCAAAACTACTAATTCATTGAAACATTGATAGATCAATGGAAGAGTGAAAAGGAAAGCACTTTCTACAAACCCACTTCAAAAAAACAACAAAAAAATAGATTTTGCTTACAGATGAAGCCAATGCAACAGTTTTGGATACTACACTCAGAAAACGACAACCCCAGAAGCGAAAAACAAAAGATCAATGGGTTAAAAAAAACGAGAGACCAAGATCAAACAATAGAGAACAGATTTTATTAACCTTCGAAAGGAATGTGGGTGGCTGCGCGAGTTTGTTGGAGAAGTGAGGACCTTTCGCAAATGCAAATGGTTTTAACGATGCGATATGCGAAATGGCTTAGGGCTGAGAGTGAAATACGAGACGTGCTTTGAACACACCAAAGCTGACCCCACTGGAGCCGTGACAGTAAGCCCATAAGAAACTGCCACGTGGATTTCTTTTTTTTAAACAAATATTCCTTTTGATTCAAAAAAATTGATGAATTTTTTTTATAAATATTAAGAAAGTTACCAAATATATTTTTGCATACTGTAGGAAAAATTTCTTTATCATACTCAAGTAAAAGTAAATACGAGTTTGATTAATCTTTTCTCAAAAAGACTCACTTATTTTTATGTGAGTGTAGTAGATAAATTTTTTTGTAGCAAAAACATAAATATTTTTTCCTATATTTTTAGAGACTAATATTTCTCATATTATAAAAACAGATAAAACTCTTTGATATCAATATCAAACTTTGAAATTTGATATCAAATCATAATTATTAATTTTTGCCAATCAATGATTGTGATCTATTGAGAATTAATAATTAATTAAAAAATTTGATTGATGGCAATTATGATTCCCCGTATTTAATGCTTTCAAAATATATATGGCAAATATTTGATTGCTGCACGTACAACAGCAGCTGCAGAAATGTAAATCCCATATATATAATGGGGAAAGGATTTCTCCAGTCACCAGAGATAAAGTTATCTCCAGTGAGCTCAAAACGAAGTCGTTTTGGGGCGGAAATCAAGGTGTTTTTGTAATTATAATATATTACAGGGTTATATTAATTTTTATCATTATAATTTTTTAATCTTATAACCCCAAAACGACGTCGTTTTGAGCTCACTGGAGATAACTTTATCTTCGGTGACTGGAGAAATACTTTTCCCTATATATATATAATTTGAAACCAAATTATAACCGTTGATTTTCGTCAATCAATATCATTTATTGTGAATTAATGATTAATTAATAAGTTTGATTCCCAAAAAATTGATAACCATTGATTGACGAAAATCAACTGTTATCATTCGAGAAATTTTAAAGTTTGACACATGTGTCAAAGGATTCTGCCCTGTCAAAAAATAAAATTACGAAAATATCCTTCATTAATTCACTCAAAATTACAGAAACACCCTTCATTAATCAAAACGACGTAGTTTTTGGGGTAGCTGTAGATAACCTTATCTAAAGTGGTTGTAAAAATATTTACCCCTATATATATGTATATGTGTGTGTGTGTGGGAAAAATATTTCTCTGGCAACTTGAAATAAGTTTATCTCCGGCCACCCAAAACTACGTCATTTTATTTATTTATTTCCTTATATTAATTGATTCACCTTTGAATAGTTATGATTCTCTTTTTCTCTCTCTTCCTTTATCACCATTGATCCATCTTTGTACAGTTATGATTTAGTAGCCGAAGATAAAATTATCTCAAGCAACTTGAGAAATGATAAGTCACACATATATATAGGGAAAAGTATTTCTCCAGTCACCGGAGATAAAGTTATCTCCAATGAGCTCAAAACGACGTCAATTTGGGGTTATAAGATTAAAAAATTATAATGATAAAGACTAATATAACCCTGCAATATATTATAATTACAAAAACACCTTGATTTTCGCCCCAAAACGACGTCGTTTTGAGCTCACTGGAGATAACTTTATCTCCGGTAACTGGAGAAATCCTTTACCCATATATATATGGGTTCGCTTTTTCTGCAGAAACTGTAGATAAGTTATTTGTAATAAGCCCAATACGACGTCGTTTTGGGCGGAAATCATGGTATTTTGTAATTTTAATTTATTTAAGGGTTATTATAGTCTTTATAATTACAATTTTTTAATTTTTCAATCCCAAATCGACGTCATTTTGGGAGTAAATGCAGATAATTTATCTGCAGTAACTGCAAAAATATTTTTTGTATATATATGGGAAAAATATTTCTCAAATATCCAGTGAGCCAAAAACGACGTCGTTTTGGGGTCGTAAAATTAAAAAATTATAATTATAAAGATTAATATAACACTGCAATAAATTAGAGTTACAAAAATACCTTGATTTCCGTCACAAAACGACGTCGTGTTGTGTTCACCGGAGATAACTTATCTTCATTGACTGGAGAAATGTTTTACTATATATATATATGAGAAAAATATTTTTGCAGTTACTGCAGATAAGTTATCTGTATTTATTCCCAAAACGACATTGTTTTGGGATTGAAATATTAAAAAATTATAATTATAAAGACTATAATAACCCTGAACTATATTAAAATTACAAAAATACCATGATTTCCCCCCCCCAAAACGACGTCGTATTGGGCTTACTGTAGATAACTTATTTGCAGTAACTGCAGAAAAAGCGAACCCTATATATATAGGATCAGGATCATTTTACACTGGTGTAAGACTAATAAGTCTTACACCGCATATCAACCGTTGATTTTCATACATCCAACGGTTATAATATAGGAAGACATACGAATTAATTAATATTAATTAACCATTAATTACCCTATAAATACCAACCGATGATTTATGTCTATTAACGGTTGAGATGTGTAAAACTAAAACTTTTTAGTTTTACACTGGTGTAAAAAGAACCTGCCCTATATATATATATATATATATATATATATATATATATATATATATATATATATATATATATATAAGGGTAGAATCCTTTGACACCGAAGTCAAATTTTGAAATTTGACACCAAATCCTATCCGTTGATTTCCGTCAATCAACGGTTATGATTTATTGAAATTTAATATTAATTAATAAGTTTGATTTCCAATAAATAATAATCATTAATTGGCGGAAATCAAATGTTAGGATTTGGTGTCAAATTTTAAAATTTGACACCGGTATCAAAGGATCTTATCCCATTTATATTTATATATAGGTGTTCATCAACCGATCCAAACCGATTGAAACCGCGGTAACCGAACCTAAAAATCGAAAACCGAATTAACCGAAAACCAAAAAATCGAAAAACCAAAAAAAAATCGCAAAAATTAATTGGATTGGATCGGTTTTTGGATGAGTTGGTGAAAACCAATCCAATCCAAACTAATCCAATGATTCTCTAACCTTACCATCTACTTACTTGGGCCTTTCTCAATCATAGCCCAAAAACCATATAGCAAAATTCTAAATTCAAGTCCCATTAACCTGTCATGTTGGAGAAAATGGGTTGTGCTTGATCTATGTTATGCTTCTTTTCTTTTCTTTTTGGTAAGATACATATGATATTTTATTACATAGGTTAATATAGTACAACTGGTTACTTCGTATATCAACCAACCATATTATAATTTTTTTGTTGGAAGAAAAAGATGATAATTTAACTTTTTGTTGTATAATGCTTCTAGATTGCACAATAATCATCATACAAACTTTACAATGCCGATACATACAAAAGATATGTTATTTGCACAATAATCATCATACAAATCTTAGACTTTTCAAAAAACCGGAAATCAATCCAATCCAAACCGAATAAAATTGGATTGGATCGGATCGGATTTGGAAAAAAATTCAAACCGAATGAATGATTACATGATTAAACTGAAGGAATTGGATCAGATGATTTTTACTTCCAAAACTGATCTAATCCAGACCGCGAACACCCCTATTTATATATATATATGTATATATATATATGCGGTAAACATTTCTACAGTCACTTTAGATAAAGTTATCTACAGCTACCCAAAAACTACGTCGTTTTGATTAATGAAGGGTGTTTCTGTAATTTTAGGTGAATTAATGAAGGTTGTTTCAGTAAAATGCATATGATAAAAAAAATAAACAAAATTACAGAAACACCTTTCATTAATCAAAGCGACGTAGTTTTTGGGTAGCTGTAGATAACCTTATCTAAAGTGGCTGTAGAAATATTTTTTTCTTATATATATATATATACTTAACAAAACAAAAGTATACTTTTTTTAAGAAGAGGATATAAATATAATTAACTATAATAAAAGGAGAATAATAGAGCATAATTATTCCTTATCTTACTATATAGAAAGGAGAACTAAACTTTGCTGACGTGTCGCTTTCTCCTTCATTTTCAGCTTTCTGTTCACACTTGAAAGAATTTAAAATGTTTCTTCTTTTAGAAATTTTTAAAATTCAAAATTTCAAATTGGTGGGTGGGAAGAATAATTCAAAATATATAGTGGAAGACACATGTATTAATGATCCACTACTTTCTGCATGGGTAGGTGGAAAAGTATTAATATCTTATTACTTTTTGCATTGGTAGGTGGAAAAGTATTCAAATTCAAAATTTAAACTTAAAGGTGGGAAAAGAGTTCATCATTAATATTGCACTACTTTCTGCATAGGTAATTGTTAACCCTATTAATATCCCACTATTGGGCTACGAAATTATTTTGTGTATAAATAGGATATGTGTTACTGGGTCTTTTCATTTGGTAATTAGCTTTTGTGCGTATGTTTCTTCTCTTCTTTGTCTATTTATCTTCTTCATCTTATCAAGTTGTTCTTCTATTAGATGAACATGTAATTTTTTAATTTTTTTGTAGCATTATTGTAGAGTAAAGCTAACGGGATAATTTGGAATCACTAGAATATGTATTTCTTTACTTCCTCAAAGGAAGGTATGACATTCTTCTCTATCTTTTTTTCTTCTACAAGTATTTTTTTTCCATAACACAATATCATGAACGCGATGATATAATAAAATGTCCTTACTTTTAAATGATTAAATATTTATGTTTAGCCTTGGGCACCATCTCAAAATTCAACACGATTTCTCTTTTATCTTAAAGTCCTTATGTTTTCTATCTTTAATACCTGTAAGAGCAAGATGAGTTTTCCCTTCTATTTTTTTTGTCCATACATAATTTGTTTCTCACTATTGTTGTTGTTCTTTAATTTATTTTTGTTCTTGACAGATATGTTTACCGTGATGGTGGAAGTGATGAGTTTGATATGAATGATACTACTTCGACCTCATAA